AGTTGGAATAATGTAGATTGAACGGCCAAATGGATAATAGTGATTTGAAATTGGCCTAAAACAAATTCCAAAAAAAATTGCAGAACACGAACCATAGCTGTGTACGGAAAACAACATCAAAAGGCAATCAAAACCCGTTCGCACTCATTTTCTGTGAGAGATGAAGGTATTTGGGAGTATGCTGAGTAGCGGCACAAGCCAGCAGCAACCACTCGCTGGTAAAACTGTCGTTGGCTACACCGCCCAAGGATTGCTGAGAAACAAGCTGATGGCGAGTTTGACCATTTGCCGAATTTCGATTCTACTACATCTCCGCATCTCGGCAGTACTAACTGCCACTTTGCCATGCGCGCTAGTACTGGAAAAAGTAAAAAAAAAATTAAGAAATCTAGCGTAGAGCTTAAAAAAAAACAGACCTCAGCGGACAACGAATACTTTGCGTGAGTAACGAATCCAGAAACTGCACGGAAACGCAACGTGTCATATCCAAATCCACTTGCAGATCAATCTTAAAGCTATTTGTATATTTCAGTTCCATGATGTACGCCACTCGCTCCTGAAAAAAAAAAAAAAAACAGAAAAATAAGACATAATTAGAAGAAACCCAAAAAGAAATACCTCAAATATCCTCATATATTAAAAAAAAAAACAAGTCTTCTCTCTCTTCCCCAATCTCATTGCTACAAGAAAAACTACCGAGCTTCCAGACTTCAACGATAAGTCAGTCCCGTCCTCACCTTTCAAAGTGAAGGAACAAAATTGCAGTGGCCCCATGCACCAGGAAACCATTGTGACTAAACGTTTTTGCATATTTATACAAATACAAAAAAACACATATTTTCAAGAGGTTGTCTGTTTTTCGTACACATGAATTCTGATGTGAGTGTGTGTTTTATATTTGTGTATGTGTCGGTTTTTTCACAAATTTTCAGCCCAGTAACTCACATATGGCTTTCTGGAAGAAAATATGAAAGTTTTGGCGGGAAAGCGACCTCGGGGATTAGCCGGGAAGCTGAAACTTCAAACAGGGATGTCCTCTATCCCTCCTTGGGCTAACATCTCAATCAGCTTTGAGACATTCCCCCCTCCCCTCTCATGGTCATTTACGACTCACTTGACCGCTGGCAGTGGGCTTCTTGATTTCATGTCGACCGATGCCATTTGGCAAATTCAGCTTTTCCTTTGTCCACAGACAGTTTGCATCGTCATACACAAGATTTTCCAGTGGCCCGAACACATCGTCGTTCTCTTTTGCAGTTTCCCAAAACTGTTCACGACAGATATCTCTAAAAACTTGAAATTTAGCAAAAATTCGTCCTTTCCTGAACAGTTTCATGCTCGATGACTGCAGCACTCCACACTGCAAAAAAAATCCTTGATGAATGTCAAGGAAACCTCACGCTAACAACAAGCAGATGACTTAGCACTTGTCTAATCAACTGGAGAAATTGCCAGCTGCCACCGAATGGAAAACCAGCTCTTTTTTCTGAGTGCCCAAGGAACAATTAAGAGGAAGTGAGACCAGTGCATCATCCTACTGTAAACAAGCGTGCATGCATCATCGTTCGCAAAATGAGCACTTATCGGCCCAGAAGAAATCGAACTCGTCTTCTCCACTATTTCCCGAGTTTTTTCGTGCCCTAACTTGCTAACCGAACCGAAAAACCATTCGTTTTTGTGCTTCGTATCTAGCAGTTGGAGCTTAAATCTGGAATTTTAACCTATACTGCCCTTACACTGCAGTGTCCAGCGCTGCAAATTTTTCCAGTTTTCACTGATTTTCTATTGGCATCTCAATACTAAATCACAGTTTTGAGTAAACTACACTAGTCACCAACATTCACAAAACCGCTTATTCATCCAACATAGAGCTACAGAACTGCGAAAAAGGCTTAAACCACCTGTCGACGCGGCGATC